GCCAGCTTTCTGAGCATTAGTCACACACTTGGCGAGTGGCAGCCAGACGCGAGCAGGTAAAGCGCTCATCTTACGGTAGGCCTACAGTCAGTGATTCTTGTTTCCTTACCTTATCGAATTCTTTTGTACACAAATTGAAACTGAAAGAGTTCTACAAAAGCGTTGCACACTGAAAAAAGCAAAACAAGAATTAGTGGAAGATTCTTTGTAGTTGTAGTTCGTTCTCGCGAACGAAGACGAGGAACCTCGTTAAGTGGATAAATTCTAAAAAAAAGGCTATGATCTTGCAGTCAAAGCTTTAACCAGAAGAGGCGTTCTCGGCTAGTGGGGATTGCTCTCCCGACGGAAAAAGAGACACGGGGTAAAGTCAGCAAAGAGAGGATATCAGTCGTCTTGTGTTCAAATGCCTTGGGGACCGACAAGATACCCCTATTTGTCATTTTCACAGCAGCAAAGCCGAGAGCTTTTAAGATCATAAACATGGAAACTTTACCAGTGTATTACAGGTCGCAGAAATCAGCATGACTGGACACATATTTGTTTAGGGAATGGTTTGTGTGTGAATTTGTTTTAAAAGTGAAAAACCATTTGACAAAATTAAATCTGCCCACCAAAGCCCTTCTACTGCTTGACAACGCGCCTACTCACCAGGAAGGTCTTCAGTGTGACGATGAAAAAGAAATTAAGCTGCTGTTTCTGCCACCCAATGTAACCAGTATTTAATAGCCAATGGACCAAGGGATCATTGAGTGCTTCAAGAGAAAGTATCGCCGAAAACTGCTTTCTGAAGTCCTTTCCAAACTGGAGGCTAATGACAATCTAGATCTCTTAAAAGTGCTAAAGTCAGTTTTTATGAAGGATGTTGTATACATGTCGGCCAAGGCATACGACGAAATATCACTATCGACGTTTGTAAAGTCTTGGAAAAAACTTTGGTCAAATATAGAAGATAAGATTGACCAAACAAACACATCAGCAGATGAGCCAAACAACATTCTTGTTAACGAACCTGATGATAATACAGCTTTATTACACGACCTTTAGCAACTACCGAACTGTGGTTCCAATTTTGAAGAAGATGTTTTGGAGTGAATCAACTTTGAAAAGAAGCTATACAACGAGGTGTTGAACGACGACGAAATCTCCGAGTATGTCATTCGCCAAGAAAATGAGAAGGATGAGACAGATGCTGCTGAAAATGAAGAGGAAGATGAAAAAAATAAAATAATCCACGCTGAAGGCAAAGCAGCTTCGCAACTGGCAGTTACCTATGTCAAACAGCAAAAAGAAGCAACTACCATTGATGTGATGATTATTAAAAAGTGGCGTGACTTTGCACATTAAAAATCGTTAGAAAATAAAATTCAGAAAAAAATTACTGACCTTTTTAAAGTGTTTAAGAAGACAAACCACTAATGTGCAATAATATTTTTAAATTTTGTTAGGCCTAAAGTTCTATAAGTATTGTTTTATAATATTTTGTAACGGTTTATCTTTTCATATGTGTTAAATATGTGTGAGAGTATTCCTCGGTGTTCTCTTCTACTTAGTGTACAAGTGTTTCCTTTTTGCTAGATCCATACAAACAATAAATGGGCATTTTTAGATAAGCATTGGTTAGTTCGGCCACTTTTAAATTCGGTCTAGGGTCTGGTCCCGATATGGCTGAACTTACGAGAGTCTACTGTATTGAAAATAAACCCTACCAGCCCCCCACCACTTAAATATCTTTTTAAATGAGCTATCACACAACATATAATAATGTTAAAAAAATATTACTAATTACGTCATTACGTCCAAATGGAAAACGTGGCTAGTATGATATATATGCCAAAAAGCCATATTTAAAAAATAAAAATCGACTTATTAATGTCGAAGGTGACTTCGTAAAATACTGTTCTCACGTATTGAAAATGTGTCAATAATATTAGTTATTGTAACACGGTAATATAAATCAAAAAATTTCTAAAAATGCGTATCTTCTCCCTATTCAAAAGCGTCAATGGGCTAGTACAACTGCGAAACTGATCAAAGACATTCAAAATAAATGAGTTCTTATAATAATACAACAACAGCTACTTCTATTACACTTTAAACTTTAAAAGCAGTTGTTTACTTTTCCAGATTTTTCTATATTCTTTACTAAGACATATATTTGTGTAAATGAACTTTTTATTTTAAATTAAAAATATAATAAATAAAGTTACTTTCTTGCGAAAATTAGAACCATTTTTCACTAGATTAAGAGAAATGCCCACACAGCGCTTTTATTTCGTGCGTGATTCCATAATATGTTTTTCGAATCAGACAGAACTCGTATATGAAAAGGAGGAAAAAAGGAAAAAAATACGCGTGATGCAATGAAAACTTTTCTGCCCCTTTCCCCCAAGATCGCGGGAACGGGAAAACCTGACGAACCAATGGCCGACCTTCTGCATATTACTTCCATAAATCCATCATATTCATAGCTGGCTCGATGCTATTGGTAGACGTGGCGCATTGCAGGCATCCTTCTCTCCGCCCCGGCTCTGGCTCTCTCCAAAGCTGCCTCCGATATTAATATCGAATTTTTGCTAAGTCTGAAGTCGCGAAAGAGATACGCGCACGCTCCCTACCGGACATACACTGGACCTCATTATAGAAGAGGAACGATATTTACTCACGGTGGCGGGCGAGAGAGGGATGAGGAGGATTGGGGGAAAGAGAGGAGCGAAGAGCACGGAAGGACGTTGGAGGAGTCCTCTTGCTGTTCCTGGCAGCGGCAATTCTGAAAGATTTCAATTTAGCGCACTGATGGGTTGTATGTGTGTTATGTGTGTGAGAGTAGTGGACAGCTCATTGCCGGAGACGATGTGATTTTCGACAACGTCTTGAGCATATAACTCAGTTTATCATTATCCGTATTAAAGCTTTATTAAATAATATCTAAAATAAAAACATAAAACACGGCTTAAATTAAAAAAAGAGCAACACTCAAACTATATTTCTAAAATAAATATACAGAAATATTTCAAAACAAAAAATGTTTTTTTTAAAATGGTCTTCTATTTTTTAACCTTTAATTAACTAGTAGATATGGTATGTGTATAAAGTTTCTATAAAAAAAATTGTGTATTTACGGAATCTTCTTCTTCTTCCTCTTTATAAACAATACTGCTTGTTTGTTGGCGGATTTATACCTCTATGGAAGCTTATTACTAAATCTTTTCCGCGGTCGTCCGATACTTCTTTTGCAGATTAGTGACTTCATCATTTGCTATTTTGACGACATGGGTCTCTTCCATTCTGCTTATGTGGTTATTCCATTATATTTTTCTAGTTTGTGTCCATTCATTTATACATTATACTTAACATTTTCTTCTAATGTCTTCACTTCTCTTTCGGTCAGTCAGCGTATTTCCTGTAATTCTTCTCGGTACTCTTATCTCTGCGGTTTCCAGTAGCCTTTACGTTGGAACTGTGTTGGGTTTTGATTCTGAGGCATATATCATTATTGGTCTTACACTGGCTTTATAAATTCTTGACATTATCTCAGTGTTAATGTGTCTGTTTCGCCATATAATGTTAAGGCATCCTGCCAGTCTGTTTGCTTTTTGTACTTGATCTCTCATTTCTTTATGCAGGTCTCCATAGCTAGACAGTGTAATTCCCAGATATTTTATTTCCATTCTTCTTCTTCCCGTGCCATATCAGAATTATCCGACGTTGGCGATCACCATTGCAAAGGCTTCTCGATCTTCTGCCACATGGAATGATTGTCCTGCATTTGGTATTAGAGTCCATTCACGAATGTTTTTTAACCAAGAAACTTGTTTTCTTCCTACACCTCTACGGCCCTCTATTTTGCCTTTAAGGATCAGTTGTAAAATTTTATATCGACTTCCCCTTACTATATGTCCCAGATAAGACATTTTTCGATGTTTAACAGTCTTTAGCAGTTCTCTGTCCTTGTTGACCTCTTCAGTACTTCTTCATTAGTTTTTCTTGCTGTCCAAGGTATCTTCAGCATTCGTCTATGAACCCACATTTCCAATGCTTTAATTTTATTCATAATCGATACTTTTAGCGTCCACACTTCTGCACTATACAAAAGTACAGGCCAAACATAGCACTTAACCATTCTTTGCCTTAGTTCTAAACTGAGATGGTTATTGCAAAGAAATGACTTTATTTTCATAAAAGTAGTTTTAGTCATTGCTATTCTACGTTTTATTTCTATGTCTGGATCTAGTTGGTCCGTTGTCACAGTTCCCAAACATGTCATTTTGTGAATGTTCTTGGACTCCATTCAATTGAAGCTTTGCATCGGGATGTGGGTCACGACTAAATACTAAAAATTTGGTTTCGTTTGAGTTTATTTTAGTGCTCATTTCCTCTCCTACCTCGTGAATACGATCAAGCAGAATTTGAAGACCTTCAATATTATCTGATAGAATTACTGTATCGTCTACATATCTAATCACATTAAGTAGTTCCCCGTTGATTTTTATTCCATATGGTTGTCTCTCAAGTGCATTTTTAAATATCTGGTCCGAGTAAACATTGAACAATATTGGCGACAAAATACAACCTTGTCTGACTCCTCGTTGTATGGGGATTTCATCGGTGTAGTTATCTCCAATTTTTGCGATAGCAGTTTGATTCTAGTACAAATTTTAATGACATGAATATCCTTGTCATCTATTCCGATATTTTTCAGTATTTGCAATAATTTTACATGCTGTACATTATTGAATGCCTTTTCGAAGTCCACGAAACATGCAAATACATCTTTTCTTTGGTCACGTATTTTTAAATAGGATGTTAAGCACAAAAATGCCTCCCTGGTTCCCATAGCATTTCTAAAACCAAATTGGGTATTTTCAAGATCTTCTTCGCATTTGCGTCTAATTCTTTTGTGAAGTACTCTGAGGAAAATTTTAAGAGTGTGGATCATTAGGCTAATTAATCGATATTTTAAACATTTTCTCGCATTGTGTTTTTCAGGTATTGAGATAAAGATGGATTTGAGTCAATCTGCGGGAATCGCTCCGGTGTTATATATTGAATTAAAAAGTCTTACTACTACTTTTATGATATCATTCTCTATTAGTTTCAGCAACTCACTTGGTGTATCATCTGGACCCCAGGTTTATCTAATTTTAACATTATTTATAGCATGTTCTACTTCGCATTTCATAATTTCTGGGCCATCAGTACAGTTTTTGTAGAATTCAACAATATTGTTCCTGTCATCTTCAAATAACTCTGATATATACAGCTGCCATTATTTTCTTATTTCTTGCTCGTTTACAATAATTTTGTTATTAGTGTCAACAAGTACAGAGGGAACTTGTTTTTTAAATATATTACTCATTTCTTTTCAGTTTTTTGTGCATAATAAATAAGTCGTGTTTAGATATTACATCCTCCATTTCGTCGCACCTTTCTCTCATCCATTTTTCTTTGGCTAATTTGATCTTCTTTTTTATTCTTCTCTGTAGGTGTCTATATTCTGTTACATTAGATTTTATCAGTCGACGTTGTTCCATTAATTTCAAGATGTCGTCTGTCATCCAGTTATTTTTCTTGATTAAGTTTTTTCTATTATCATTGTTAGTGGAGATTTCGTTAACTTGGTTTTTAAATTCACTCCATAGTTCTTCTGGATCTTCTAGTTGTTCCCCGATGTTTTTATTCTATTGTTAAATTATTTTTTAATGTTATGTGTTATGTTTATATCGTCAAAGTTAAGCACATTGGTTTTTGGTTTTTGTCGCTGAATTCGTTTTAACCTTAGTTTAATATCTGCTACGAGTGGTTGATGATCAGATCCGATATCTGCCCCAGGATATGTAGTGACTTTTTTGACGGCATTTCGGAAACGCTCATTTACAAGTATATAGTTTATTTGATTTCTGACTTATATAGTTATTGGCATCATCAAATGGGGCTTTCCAAGTGTATAGTCGTCGCTTGGGTAGTTTATACGAGGTGTTCGCAATGATCATATCGTTTTCTTTACAGAATTCATACAATCTCTGTCCTCGATCGTTAGGTTGTCCTAAACCATAAGGACCTAAAGTCTGACCTCGTCGACCTTCCCCAATTTTTGCATTGAAGTTGCCTATAATATATAAAATTTCATGTTTATAAGTTTCTGTAAGAAGTCTTGGATCTAATCATATAACTTCTCGACTTCATCGTCATATTTTCTATCTGCAGTCGGGGCATAGATTTGAAGTATGTTAGTTTTAAATTTATAAAATATTTCCATTACTTGTTCAATATTGATGCTATCAATTTCTATTTTACATCTGGTTGGTTCTTTGCTGATTACTATTGTTTTAGTTTTCTGAGATAAGATTGTAATATGAAATTCTTTTGCTCTTATGTTATATCTGTGGACCAATCTTTGCAGACAATCTTCATCTTGGGCTATCAATATTGCGTCGTCTGCGTAACAGAGTATTTTTATTTCTTTGTTTCCCATTCTGTTTGCTCTTCCGTTGTTAACGCTTTTGATGATATATTATGAATATAATTATTTTCCGCAAATTTTTCTAGAAGATAAATAGTTTGGGATGACGTGTGATATTTAAATTTACTGCAAAATCTTAAAGACAGTTAATTAAATTATAAAGAAAACTCATTATTTATGTTCCTGTCCTTTATAAACATTTATTCACAAACATTCTTCTCAATGGCAGCTTAATATTTCTATTGAAGTTTTTACTCAATTTTTTGCACCGATGTGTCTTCTATCGTTTGATAATTTATCTCTTACTATTTTTCTTTTTCTTCTTCGCAAGCCTATCAAGCTAATGATTGATACTTTTAGCGTTCACACGCTAAAAGTAGTGCACACGTTCTGCACTATAAAAAGTACGGACCAAACATAGCACTTAACCATTTTTGGTCTTCTTAGTTCTAAACTTAGATCTGACTAGTTAGCCCTAGACTCCAGCACAGATCTGAGGTAATGTAAGTCAACAAAATTTCACCAGCTCCTGGGGGACATGTTAAATGCCTTCAGTTGTAGTTTTTATTAATTACCAAAGTTAATGGTCTATTGCATTTACCTTTGTAAATTCCACGAGGATTTTTTATAACTGATGTCCTTCTAGTGTTTTTCTGCGGCCAAACAAGGTTTTTAACAACTTTTTATTAAACTGATGATGGAATGATTTAATTCCGAAAAGATCTTTTTTAAAATAAAGTTTTAAGTTTTTAATAAGCATTTTTTATACCTTTATACACACGAACACCACGTACTTTGTATTCAACAGGTATACTAGCCACTCCTGGATATCTCCACTTCATGGTTTTGTTCCAGTTTCATTTTTAATTTTAAGATTTTGAATGAATCTTACTTTTCCAACGTTCAGTCAAGTATTAAAGGTTAAATTGGAAAACAAATTAGTGTTCCATTAACAGTAAGGAAGCAAGATAACTAAAAAACTTTTTTTGTGTTAATATTTAACAGTTTTTAGTTGAACAATTATTATGTTACAAAATTTGGCGAACGATAATGAGAGATTATTAGGTTCATCCACCATAATTGTTAAAAATATAGGAACAGAAAACCCGAATATAGGACTAAACTGGAACAATACAACTATCCCAGGTAAATGGGTGTTAAATTGGACAGGACACTGTTATTAAAATAACATTGTCATGAGATGAAGAACCAAATTAAGTGCAGGAATAACATTATCCTGTAACGTTCTAACGAACATTCATTGGACGTCAATCTGTGACGTGCCAACAAATATTCATTGGGTGCCAATTTGTAACCCTTCGAGGCTCAATTTGTAACATCCCAACGTTGAGCTGCTGTTATCAACCTGTAACCGCAAACCTTAGTTTGCTGCTACAACCTGACTAACATCACTAACAACGTTGGAGTGACAAATCGTTTCCCGTTGGGACCAATTTTTAACGTCTTAACCCCTAATGTATCAATTACAAAATTGCTACATTAGACGTTATACGAAACACTCCCTGGCTAGCTCACTCAGGACGTGAATATGGCCTACTCTGGAGCAACACACACAAACAAGTAAAAAGAAGAAACAATACACAGTTAAATTAACACATGTTTATTAAGATATAAAAAAAAACAGAAAAATAAATGTTAAGTATCGTATTAAATTTAAATAAAAATTATTCGACTTCTTGCTACAGAGTATAACATTAGGTATATGAAAGAAGAATTTTTGTCACCAAATCCTAAGTTTTATCCTGGTCTTTTCTGCTCTGGTTGTTAGCAAGCCATGTGGTTAGTTTTGGATTTCCTTGTCTCGGAGTCAACTCTCCTATTGGAATAATGGTTCCATTCTCAGGCCGGTTGGTCTTCTGGATGGTAATAGAATTTGACCCGCACCTGAGAAATGTATCCCGGAGGTTGACTAAAATGAAGAAAAACACACCTTGCTTTAGAAAATGGTGAAACCAAAATGAGAGACCTTGCTTGGGGGATGAATAAGGTGACCAATCAAATTTAACAAAATTTTATCATTATTCACCCAAGCAAGTCGAGAAACAATTCTTATTTATGTGCTTATCACAGGCAAATAAGTAAAAGTAAGGATATATATAACTTTAATGCAAACGGTAATTACTTTTTTTAAAACTGAAATATTCTAATATTAATAAAAAAAAATGCCAAGATATATTTATTGAAAAGCTAGATAATTTAGAATAAGTAGTAGTAGTAGGTAGTTTGTCAAAAGTTAATTATTATTAAAATCAAAAGATATTATGGATTTAAAATTCATATTTAAAACTATAAAAATATTCGTAAAACTTTTACATACTATATTAAAGAAACTATATATTTCTTATCGCTAGTTTTTTATATAAAAATAAAAAACATAGAGATATCCAAAAAAAATATGTATCTACTTACATGTCATACCATAATCATAAATAATGAGCTTAGAATTTTCAAAGTTAAAATTATAAAAAGATTTTTATACAACAGGTGGAATTAGGAAATCGATAAAATATATTATACACTTACCTCCAAATCTGGAGACGACACAACAATTGGTTATTCTATTCTTAGAGAAGTCATGAAGAAAATCGACATTTTTAGAAAATAGAAGTCTTTATATCGACTTTTGTATCGAATGGGAAGGAGAAATGTCACAGAGAATAAAGATGGGACCTCTCGTTCCAAAGTAACGGAAATAGAGATGAAAATAAAATTCACTCTTTAGAAACTTGAGTAAAAGATAAAAATGATGATTATTAAGAAAATAGGAAAGGTAGATACTAAAATATATATATAAAGAAGATAGATTTGGACGCCAACTGGTTTTTATACCAAATACCAGTAAAAATGAAAAGAGAATAATGAATCAATTAAGTAACGACATAATTCTGATACAATCTATATCCTAGAAAATATATAGAAAAATAAGAGATACAATGGATGATATAGAAGAATATGAATTATGACAGAAGATACGGAAATTGGAGAATAGTAATTAACGAAATATATTAACATAAGAAAGAAAGCAGGCAATGTAGCAGTTATAACGCTACAATCCACAAGTGGGCTATGCTATTGATGACTGTTAGGATTGTGGAAAATGCAGACCTCAGATGATCGATTAGTCAGTTTAGATATTATGAATACGGTACTATATTCTAATTTTTTTCTTTTCTATTGACTTTGTTTTTATATGTGTGTTGGTCTTCTTTCTATTGGTTTTTTCCGTAATGCAGAGGCTGTCTAGTATAAATTATTGTTGGCTTTTTTAACGTATGATCAATCGGTAGCAATTTATTTATTCCCTAATTGTAATTTATTGTTTTTTATCAGTTTTTTTGAATATTGGTTCCGAAAGTTTGAACAGAACCATAAAGTTACAAACGGTTTCACCAGTTCTTTTTATGATTAACATTAATAATAACAACTAATATTTAAATGGGAATAAGCCCGAATTAAAGATCAAAGTTAGTTTATAAACTAACTGTAACCTTTAATTGTGGCTTATTCCCATTTAAATAGTAATTACTTTAAAATGCCCCAAGAAAATAGCTTCAGAACAATAATAAATTAATAACGTTTTAATATGTTAAATTCATCTTAACCCTACATTGCATATCGTTGCTTTCTGGCAACACCGAAATTAAATTCAGTTAGAAAACAAACCTTTTGTCCTTTAGTGATTTTAAAGGGCATATTTTGTAGTCAAAGACACATTCTATCAAAGTTATCGCGCAACTCTCTATGACAGTACACCAAACCAAATTTTCACGCCAAAAGTTTACAGATTTATTATCACAGTCATTTGTACGTGTGCGGTACAAGTTCCTGCAAGTTTTAGTGATTTAATACTATTTCTAAACACAAATGTTTACTTTTTTAATAGAATTGTGAGATGGTAAATTATATAAAATTAGTAAGTGTAAAATTAAAATTAGAATAATCAATCACATTTTAAACGGATGTTGCTTTCAGACAACTTTATACCATCATGCCATGGAACTACCTCAGGTCGGTGTAGATAGATTTTATTTTACGGAAATAGAGGTAGTAGAAATAAAAATGTTATTTTAAGATCAGTGCTAAGAGATTCT